TTTTATCACCAGCATGTGTTCACCTTTCTAGAAAAATAGTACACTGTATTTCTTAGAACACCCGCTACAATTTCAGCCCAAATGATTTACTACCTCTCACATCTCAAGATTGACCTGATCATCCACCTTCAACCTCCAGCCACAGTAACTGGGTCAGGAAGGGGCAAATAACAGACCGATCTAGTTAGATACACCACGAATAGGGCTTCAGAGAAAGAGGTCTTTTTCCACCTCTTCAGGTTTAAGTAGAGAAGGATACAGAGCTTGGAGTTTCCTATGGCCATTTGTGTACCACATGAACCTGAGAATGGAGCCCAAGTAGAGCAGAGTGGAGAGATGATGTCATTCTGGCATCCTGGCTACTGAGTTCTGGATCCACCTGTGCTTGAAGCCAGCTTTATTATAGACTTTTCGGAGTTAAGAGCATCTTTCCTACTATTTTGACTTACACCAGTTTGATTTAAACAAACAAACAATAAAAAACTCTTATAGGTTAAACAATGCAAAAACAAAGAGCCCGTGTATTTCAATATGTACATACACATATATAAAAATGCATAGAGGGGCTTTCGGGCAAAAAGGCGTGAGTTGGTGGCTGCGGCCTCTGGGCTGGGATGAACCGCGCTCGCGGTGGAGTCAGGGAAGTAGAGCCGGAGCCATGGCCAGTACAGTGGTAGCAGTTGGACTGACCATTGCTGCTGCTGGATTTGCAGGTCGTTATGTTTTGCAAGCCATGAAGCATATGGAACCTCAAGTAAAACAAGTTTTTCGAAGTCTACCACAATCTGCCTTCAGTGGTGGCTATTACCGAGGTGGATTTGAACCCCAAATGACAAAACGGGAAGCAGCATTAATATTAGGTGTAAGCCCTACTGCTAATAAAGGAAAAATAAGAGACACTCATCGATAAATTATGCTTTTAAATCATCCAGACAAAGGAGGGTCTCCTTACATAGCAGCCAAAATCAATGAAGCTAAAGATTTACTAGAAGGTCAAGCAAAGAAATGAATTAAATGTATGATTTTAAGTTCATATTAGTTTATTCACATGAATATCAACTTTTTATAATAAAATGCCTCAAAGTTGCAGTTTTTAAAAATGACTAAACACAAGCTAAGTCAGTCTTGGTATAAATTTGATTAAATCTGAGGATTTTAAATTAACTAAGTTTAGTTTAGAATATTTAGCAATTCTCAGTAACTTATTATTTGAATAGATGTATTGCTCATTAAGTGAATCATTTGGTACCTGTGCATACTTTCTAAAGGCAGAGTGAAGACAGCCCTGGCTCTCGAGGAGCCTATAGGCTAGTGGGAAACTGACAAACTAGTAACTAAAACATGTAGTAAATGTTATGATGGAATTAGCACACGGACTTACTGGAAAGAAAAATAGTTCAAGGTATAGACAACCGGAGCAGCTACTTGGAACGTTGTATTTAATAGTGAATTTAGCCATGATTGTGACTTAAAAAATTCTTATACATTAAAACCTCATTTGTATGATGAAAAAAATGCATAGAGGACACTCTGAAAAGGCAAATTTCAAAGTGATAGTACTGGTTATTTGTAGGAAAAGAAAGATGTGTTAAGAAAGATGATTGGAAAAGGACTTTTGTATCATCTGTATTGTTAGAAAAGGCTGTAGTTCTCACGTAGTTAAAAACAAACATCCAATAAACAAAGGAAACAATTTGATACCAATTCCATTATCACCTCCCCACAACTACAAAATTTTTACCAAATTAATTACCTGTGTTTTTGCTTGATATTCAGGATGTAGAGCAGTACAACTAAAACTTTGCTCTTGCCTCCTCTTCTATGGTCTGCCCTCAGTGTTCCTGAAGTTGTAAAACAAACATCCTTAAAACAAGTGCTTTAGAACTCAGCTTGAGCACCAACAATAATGTTTATCATTAAAACTTACCATGTAATAACAATTCATTCTATTTCAAAAATAAATTTTCACACGGACTTTAGTCAACAAGTAGTTACTGAAGCAGTATCTGCTCTTCGAATGAGAAAAGACACGGTACAAACCAATCTGGGAGTCTGGAGAAAGTTCTACAGTGAATCAGCGGTGACATGACCCTCCTGTCTTGGTTTTCAGCCCCCAGGCTCTCCATTTCACCACAATTTGCAGCCGGTGCGAGCTTCAGAGAACTCCATTTTACACTCATGTTCTGGTGCTAAATTGAACTTGGATTCCTCCAGGGACTGAGAAGAACTCTCTGGTGTCTTTTTTTTTTTTTTTTTTTTTTAATGTCACTCTTTTCCCCTCTCATATGCAACCTGGCATTACACCGACGACAGACACATCAATGTCCTGATACAGAAAATAACCATTTCAACTAGTTTAAGATTCTGTGACTTAAAAGCTGAATTTCCAGTAAGGGACGCTCAGAAGACTAGGTGTTCACTCTATCAGCTAGAATTAAAAGTTGGTTTGTTCCATCTCAACGAGAGAACTGCTACAAACCCAGCTCTGTCTCATCTGGGAAGGGGCTCTCTTTAGAAGGCACATGCCAAGACCTACCACCAGGGGGCGCAGATTTACAGTATAAGGCACAGAAAAAAGCTGGCTCTCACCTGTCTTTTCTGAGGTTTTTTTTTTTTTTTTTTTTTTGATATTACAACATTCGTTGCTACAGACTGAAAGATTCTCTCTATTTAAACCAGATCCTGAGGATGCTGGTACAGCATTGATTTAAAGCCACATAATAAATTTAAACAGTTAAGCCCTCTGATCTCATTAATTCATTTTTCCTTGTTGCTTGAACAGAAAGTGTTGTATTATAGAGATAATCATGACTGATAATCCAAATGAAAGCAATTTTGATAAATTCTAATACGCATTTTATTGAAACTGGAATGACAAGTCCTTTCCTCTAAAAGGAAAAAGTTTTAGACTACATGAAAAATAGGCCCTGGCTGGGAAACCTGTTGCTCAAATAAGGGAACTAAAGAGCCCTAAATTGGAAATGGTCTCTTATGATGCTTTACCTCGTGACCTCAGCCTGAGGAACACATGCAACCAGAGGGATAAAGTTATCTTTCTCTCCCAAAGTGAAATAATTTACAAATATTTAAATCAAAGAAGAAAATATCAATGAAAAAAGACAGACTAAAGACTAGTAATAACAAATTAGTTGTAGGGACGGCAGGTGGTGTGGTTAAAGTGCTGGACACTCCCACATGGCCTTCTATGGTTTGAGTCCCTAACCTGGTGGCTTGCTTCCTCACTTTCTGTGTGTGTCTGGTAAAAATAAAATAAAAAATGAATAAATAAAATTAAATAATTCTTTACAAAAATATTGGTTGTACATGATATGCCGCCTTTGCTTCGTTTAAGCAATGAGGCCTTTCAAACAGTGCCTTTACGTGGGGTCAACCATGGGGCAAATATGTCCTTTCTTTTGGTTAGCATGTTAGGGGAGCAGTGGAGATTGAGGATAAAATCAGAAATTGGCTTCTTGGGTATTTCTATCGGTGGGAGTTACTAGTCATACAAGAGTGGAATGTAGGTGTGCATTTTCTTTAATGCTCAGGGATTTTACGCATCAGTAGAAGGAGGTTTGAGATTCACCTGGGAGACATAGTCTTCGACAAAAAAAAAAATCAAGATGGAATATGCATTTAAAATAAACATAAGCTGTAGAAGGACTGCTGACGACAGAGGAAGCTAGTTCTAGAAATGGGGGAACACAGGCACAGGCTTGGCAGTGCAGGCGGTAGCTACTTGTCTGCCAGAAACTACGCAGTCAATAAGGTTCAGATCCTGAACTGCCCTGAAATATACCGGGTGCAGTGGCCCAAGATCCTGACTAGGTACAGGATCTAGTTACAGGATCTGGGGGCAGAAAACAGCTCTGAAATGCTCATTTAATGTCAGAACAAACTCATTTAATGTCAAGGAAGTAGACGGGGCTGGGTAATGTCACAATACCTTAAAAGGAAGGCTGTTTGCTATGCACCATCCCAGGATATTATCTTCCCAAGACCTTTCCAACCCCGGCTACTCCCAGGCTGTTAGAAGGCGGGTCAGGTTGGGTCCTTTCCCTA